TTTTTTGATTTATTGTAGAGATGAGGTCTTGCCAAGTTGCCCAGGCAGGTCGCGAACCTGCGGGCTCAGGCAATCCACTCACCTCAGCCTCCCAAAGCACTGGGATTACAGGTTGAGCCACCAAGCCCGGCTTTATTATATTTTCAAAGGTTTCCAACACTGGGAGCAGTCTGTTACTATTCTCTTAACCTCTAAGACAAGATTAATTCTTAAGTTAATATTTTAGAAAACAATCCAAATAAGAGATCAATATCAAAAAAGCATGTATCAAAAACATAGATACTAGAAATATTTTTAAAGTAAGTAAACATTTATGTCTCTTGGAATCAAAGACTTTGGCCAAAAACATAGACCTGATACCACAAGTAGTATTTTTCAATCAATATGCAAAATGAATTAATTTAACTTGAAAAATGAAAAATATATTTTTTACACAGTTAGACTAAGCATAAAGTTCCAAATCAGTTTGAAGGTTTAATTTAGTGGCGATAAAGATAGAGATAGAGTCGGGAGAGAAGAGAGAATATGCATGAATGAACAAATGAATGATCTTTAGTATCACTGCTACCATCATCTCCAAACACAAGGTAGTAAAATTTCAGGTAAATTTTCTTTTTCTTATATGTTCTCCTCCCTGTGTCTATTCTCTTCTTGCACAGTAATATTTTATTATTGTTAAGAAGATAATAAAGTTGATCTGATTAAAGAGTACATATCCCTCTCTCCCTAACAGCTAGGTATAGTCATACGACTAAATTGAAAACAGTGGGATATAGGCAGAAATGTTATGACAACTTCTAGAAAGTATCTTTAAAAAAAGGAAGAGTTCCGGGCACAGTGGCTCACACCTGTAATCCCAGCACTTTGGAAGGCAAAGGCGAAAAGACTGCCTGAGTCCAGGAGTTCAAGACCAACCTGGGCAACTTGACGAGACCTCATCTCTACAATAAATCAAAAATCAGCCTGGCATGGTGGCATGTACCTGTAGTCCCAGCTACTCAGGAGGCTAAGGCAAAAGGACTGCCTGAGCCCAGCCGCTGAGGCTTGGCCATAGCATGCCATTGCACTTCAGCCTGGGCGACAGAGTGAGGGTCTGATTCAAAAAAAAAAAGAAGAAGGAAAAGAGAATGCTTTTCTTTATTCCTTTCTCTCCTCATGTTGAAAGAATATGGATGCAGTGGCTGGAACCTGAGCAGTCATCTTAGAACATTAGGTAGAAGCCTCATGTTGAAAATGGCTCAGTCACAGTGAGAAGAAGCCAGTGTCCCCAGATAAAAAGCTGCCAAATAACCTAGACTATCTACTTTCATGTGAGAGAGAAATAAACTTTTTTTTCTGAGTCAGTGTCTTACTCTGTTGCCTAGGTTAGAGTGTAGTTGCATGCTCACGGCTACCGCAGCCTCAACCTGCTCGGTGTAGGCAATCCTTCTGCCTGGCCTTCTAAGTAGCTGGAACCATAGGCACCTGCCACCATGCCTGGCTTTGATTTATTGGAAAGATGAGGTCTCACCAAGTTGCTTAGGCTGGTCTAGGCAATCCTACCAAATTGCTAGGATTGTAGGTGTAAGCCACCATGCCCAGCCCAAAAGAAATAAACTTCTTGTTTTAGCCACTGTTATTTTGTTTTTTTTGCCACTGCAGCCAAACTGATACTAATATAAAACTAAAATAGACCAGGTGCAGTGGCTCATGCCTGCAATCCAAGTACTTTTAGAGATTGAAGCAAGAGGACTGCTTGAGCCCAGGAGTTCAAGACAATCATGGGCAACATAGAGAGACCTCGTCTCTACAAAAAAATTTTTAAATAATTAGCTGGGTGTGGCAGTGTATATCTGTAGTCCCAGCTACGAACCTGAAGCAAAAGGATTTCCTGAGCCCGGATATCAAGACTGCTGTGCACTGTGATCATGCCACTACACTCCAGCCTGGGTGACAGATTGAGACACCGACTCAAAAAAAAAAAAACCAAAAAAGCTTTTGTATGTACTCTAATTGAGGCACTCCCAAGCCAAGGACAGGGACAAAGTTAAATCACAGGACTTCTCAGTCAAAACATCCTAGAACTATAATCGCTAAAATAAAACCTCGCCAGGTGCAGTGGCTCATGCCTATAATCCCAGCACTTTAGGAGGCTGAGGAGAGAGGATTGCCCGAGCTTACGGATTCAAGACCAGCCTGGGCTACTTGGTGAGACCTCATCTCTACAATACATCAAAAAAGTAGCTGGGCATGGTGGAGCATGGAGGTGGAAGGATCACAGAAGCCCAGCAGGTCAAGGTTGCAGTGGCCATCAGCATGCCATTGCACTCCAGTCTGTATGACACAGTGAGACGCCAACTCAAAAAATAAAAATAAAATGAAATAAATAAAATAAAACCTCGATGCTTGGCAAAGGACTGTAAGTAGCCAACTACTGTTCAGAAATAAAACTTCCTCTTACACCTTGGATCTGGAACCAGATGGAAGAGGTACAAGGAGCACTCCCACTCTAGGAGGGCAGAGTTGTAGAAAAAAATACTTTTTTCAATAAAGGAATAAAACAACATTCTATTATGCTATTAAATATTCAATCAACATTATAGCCTTGACTATGTTTCAAATACTTACTCTCCCTTTAAAGCTATCATGTAGCTGATCTTCAGCAAAAATATGGAAATGAAGAGGTTTGATGCTGAAAATAATAGCTGACTTCAACATGGTCATAGTTTCTTCCAATCTTTCACCACACGCAACTACAGCTAGGTGCATTTTCTCAACAGGCTGTACTTTCAGACTATACCTAACAGGAAAGAAAACCACATTTTCCAACAGTTATAGTACATGTTAGCAACATGACATTTTTACCATGTTCAAAAACTGAAGCTCAAAACTTCTGTTTAAAAAGCAAAGTAACATCAAATTATAAAACATAATGTCGAATCAATTATGTTTCTATATTCTCAACTAGCCTTTCTCAACGAATTTTCCTCACTAGGAACCACAGAACACGAACAAAATGACTATTTTCTCAATTATCCCAAGAATACATAACCAGCCCCATTATAGCAACCCAGCAGAGAGGTTAATTCATTTCTCACACTGGATCCCTTAGGGCATTAGGGCTTAATTCTCTCAAGGAACCCATTGAAAAATTGAACATCCCTGACTTGAAGGTCTTTCATTCAATATCTTTTTTAAAACTTTGTTATTTTTAAAAAACTCTGACCTGGCTCGGTGGCTCAGCCTGTAATCCCCGCACTTTGGGAGGTCGAGGTGAGTGGATTGCCTAAACCTACAGGTTCAAGACGAGCCCAGGCAACTTGGCAAGATCTCGTCTCTACAATAGATTAAAAAAAATTTAGCCAGAAGCAGTAGTATGCACCTGTAGTTCCAGCTACTTGGAAGGCTGAAGTGGAAGGATCACCAAAGCCCAGCAGGTCGACGCTAGAGTGGCTGTGAGTGTGCCACAGCATTCCAGCCTGGGCGACAGAGTGAGACTCCAACTCAAAAAATAAATAAATAAATAAATAAAAATTTGAAGGGGAAAAAAAAAGCCCAAACCCTTACACATATTCTTATTAAAAACCTCCCTCCATACCACCTTCCACTTCACTATAAACTATATAGTGAAGCAAAGCCAGTCATAATTTCATCCATAAATATTTCAGTACATTCAATCTTAAATGCTGATTACAAGGAAAAAAAACTATTTCACATCAGTGACACACATTCAGTCCCATTTACCAGATATCCACCAGGATGCTGACATTTCTAAGATGGTATAAATGATACTAGTCAAACAACAGTATGTCTTTAGAACTTTCCTTTTTTTTTTTTTTTTTAAATGAGTTGGAGTCTCTGTCACCCAGGCTGGAGGGCAGTGGCACTCATAGTCATCTCAGCGTCAACCTGCTGGTCTCCAGCAATCCTTCCACCTCAGTCTTCCAAGTAGCCAGAACTATAGGAGTGTGATATCATGGCCAGCTAATTTTTTTTTATTGTAGAGACGAGGTCTCGCCAAATTTCCTGGGCTGGTCTCGAACCCGCAGACTCAGGCAATCCACTCACCTCGGTTTCCCAAAGTGCTGGGATGAGAGGCTGAGCCTAGAACTACTTCTAACACAGCAGCAGCAAGCAGTACATACCTGCAGGCTTAAGTAACCTTTAAAACCTCTTACATCTGCTGGGCCAATTCTTGTGCATATGTGGTGTTAACATAACTTGGGTCTTCTTAAAAGTCTCTACTCTTTGCCACTGACAGCAATTAGGAAGAAGTAGCATCTTCTCTCCTGTCCCACCCTCTATCCCTTCCTCTTTTTCTCTGTTGAACTCAGCAGTTAATAACACTGAAACTGTATTAGTAGAGGGAAGTCTACACTTTCCACATCTATAACAAGGGGATATGAATCCAGTTCATCTGAAAACTGTAGAAATCACAATGACACAAGTTAAAGACAAGAAAATCGAAACGTACTATAATTGTATAGAATTATATATTATATCATCTTTCTAGTAACTGCCTCCAGATCCTACTTCTCAGGTGGTATAAAGGCCTTCACTAAAGCATCATGATTTGAGAATCTATAATGGGTTCAGATTGCTTAACTGGCCCATAAGTAGATCTTGCGCCAAAGTCAAAAGCTAAGAGATTTAAAAAGCAAGCTATAATAGTCAAATGTCAATTTGCACAGAATCCCTACACACGAAGTATATTAAACCTCACCAAATGATCCTCAAGGGAAAAAAAAATGCCTCTAAAATCAGTCCTTTAGGGCCAGGCTCTGTGGCTCAGCCTATAAACCCAGCACTTTGGGAGGCCAAAGCGAGTGGACTACCTGAGTCCGCAGGTTCAAGACCCACCTGGGCAACTTGGCGAGACCTCATCTCTACAATAAATAAAAAATTAACCAGGTGAGGTAGCGCACGCCTGTAGTTCCGGCTCCTTGGAAGGCTGAGGCAGAAGGATCACTGAAGCCCAGCAGGGCAAGGCTGCGGTGGCTGGAAGCGTGCCACTGCACTGGGCGACAAAGTGAGACTCCAACTCAAAAAAAAAAAAAAAAAATCAGTCCTTTTGTCAGGCATTTTAGCCAAGATTAAGTCACACTGCCCGCATTCCTTTCAACAATTTACACAAATATTGTCAACTATATCACATTTGTTTTTCTGTTAGGTGTCCTTTTTTACATATAGTACAGACTCCAACACCTAAACTGACAAAACAAAATATACTTTAAAGATGTCTCTGACCACCACCCTGTCCCTAACCCCAAAATCAGGAAAATCAATTTCAAGTGGAAAAAATCTTAAGTAAGCTCCAACACTATAGAAAGTAACACGTAGTCAAAGAGAAACAGTCATTCAAATAATTTGGGCCCCGTTTGAGTGGTGGACTCTTGCCAAGGTCTGTAAAAATGTGCTATATGTCAATCACAGTATGAACAAAAGAAAAGTCCCTGTGGACTTTGAAAAACTGCTATTCAAAAGGACATTTTAAGTCAAACCTGTTTTCCTACAGATATATGATTAGAAGAAATGCTTCAGATGATTCAAAGATAATACCTGAGGTTTCCCATGGTTAAATTTGGCATAATCTGAGTATCAAAAGCACATCAGTAATGAATGATAATATACCAGATTAAAAAAAAATAAATCCATGTATCCAAAATGACATTAGAAATAACAGGGTTAACAGGGTAAGGGAAGGAAACTCTTCTGAGTTGGAGTGTCACTCTATCATCCATGCTGGAGTGCAGTGGCATGCTCATGGGTACCCCCAGCATCAATCCGCAGAGCTCTGACAATCTTGCACCTCAGCCTTCTAAGTAGACGAATCTACAGGTGCACGCTACCACGCCCAGTTAATTTTTTGATTTATTGTAGAGATGAGATCTCACTATATTATCCAGGTTGGTCTCAAACCTGAGGGCTCAGGCAATCCTCTCACCTTGGCCTCTCAAAGTGCTGGGATTACAGGCTTGAGCCACTGCACCCGGCCAAACTCTTCTTTCTTAAGGGTAATTACTAACCAATAAATATAGAAGATATGAGGTGGGGAGTGGTGGTTCAAGCCTGTAATCCCAGCACTTTGGGAGGCCAAGGCAAGAAGACTGCCTGACTCCAGGGGTTTGAGACCAGCCCGGACAACAAGGTGAGACCTTGTCTCTAGAATAAATCAAAAAATTAGTTGGGCGTGGTGGCACGTGCCTGTAGCTCCAATTACTTGGAAGGCTGAGGCGGAAAGATTGCCTGAGCCCAGCAGGTCAAGGCTGAGGTGGCCATGCACATGCCACTGCACTCCAGCCTGGGTGACAGAGTAAGAAAGACTCCAAGTCAAAAAAAAATGTGGAAGATATGACAGAATTAGAAAACTATTTTGCTATCACTATTTAATAATTTGGACAAGAATAACCAATATATGCTAAAGTATTTCCCCCACATGTTATAAAGGGGATAAAGGTACCATTGTTACAGTGAAAACAGCCTTTCCTAGTCAAGACTTTATCTTGCTTTTGGTTCCACAAAAGGCGGCTTGGGGCAAGAGGCCTCTGTTTCCCTCCAGCTAAATAGTTCCTGAGAAAATTTTAAAAACAGTGAAACAGAAAGAAAGTGCTGTTATCATCCAACACAATGTACACATTCCTGCTAGTGCCATATTCACTGCTTTAAGACCAAGTTGCACCTTACTGGTAAAATATTTCACAATGAAGAAACCAAGTATAATTATCTTCCAACTAATGTGAATATGTGCTCAGAACACGTAAAGCTAGTCTTCTGTGTTCCTGTGTCATTCTGTGTTATAAAGAAAGGCCACAGCTGTTGACTTCTCTAAATCTAGCACTATAACAACAGCTCTTCCATTCAGCATAGTGCTGAAGCGGTAACTAAACTGGATACAGTGGGCTTCCCTCCTGATTCTATTTTTGTCTATCATGGCCTTGATTGAGGGACTAAAACTTCACAACATAACCTGGCAGGACATGGGTTTCATCACAATTCCTTCTTTAGTTCATTCAATTCCTGCCTTCTTCTCAGAAGTGAGTGTCCCAGAAGAGACAACTGCACAGCAGAGGAGTGGACTTTTCCTGAAACTAACTGGAATACCACAGCCAGGTTTTCAGTCACATCCGTCTTGGCCTGGGCCATGTTCTTATTATAGTCCAGTGTTTTATTTCCCCCATGGTCAATATCTATAATGAAAAGATACTGAAGGGAACCAGCTCACTGAAAGCAACTTCATACAGAACAGCAAACTATATTTCTTTGGCATTTTTAACAGGCTGACCCTGAGCCTTCAGAGGAGTAACCACAATCAAATTAAGAACTGTGGTCTTTTTTTGGCCAGGCACATTGGCTCATACATGTAATCCTAGAACTTCGGGAGGCTGAGACGAGACTGGCAATATAGTAAAACCTCATCACTACAAAAAAACTAGCTAGGCGCGGTGGAGGCTGCAGTGAGCTGAGATCATCCCACTACACTGCAGCCTGGGCTACAGAGTGAGACTCTAACAAAGAAAGAAAGACAGAAAGAAAGACAGAAAGAAAGACAGATAGAAAGACAGACAGAAAGAAAGACAGAAAGAAAGAAAGAAAGAAAGACAGAAAGAAAGAAAGACAGACAGACAAAGAAAAAGAAAAAGAAAAAGAAAGACAGAAAGAAAGAAAAAGAAAGAAAGGCAGAAAGAAAGAAAGAAAGAAAGAAAGAAAAAGAAAGAAAGGCAGAAAGAAAGAAAGAAAGAAAGAAAGAAAGAAAAAAAGAAAGAAAGAGCCGGGCTCGGTGGCTCAGCCTGTAATCCCGCG